TGTGAGATCCAGAATACTCATTTCCTGTTGTTTGAAAGTGCCTGCAAACCATCAGCTGTACTTCTCTCCCATCTTCCCCCAACCCCCCTACCACTGCCAGAGTGCATCTGAAGTGCTATTAGTGCTGCATGACACGTGTGCACGAGAGAGAGAGAGAGAGAGAGAGAGACAGGGAGAAAGAATGAAGAGAGAGAGAGAGAGAGAGAGAGAGAGAGAGAGAGGCAGACAATCTGGGTTCATTTCTGCTTCACTTTAACTATGTAAAGCTAATAGGCGATATAGTGACTCATCAAGTGGCTTTGTTTTAGACTGAAGTTTAATGCGTCAACACTCAGATATGAAGTAAAAAGGGACATGCATCGATAGATATAAAAATTCACCCATTGGTGTTTTGCAATCAAAATGTCCCTTATGGAAGTGAAACCATTGATGTGTATGTACAGTGAAAAAATATGAATATATTTAATTATTTGGTTAAATGAACTAAAATAATTATGGTCCTTCATTTGGGATAATGCTATATTTTGCATTTCAGACAATTACAAATCACAGTATGCTACATGATTGCAAGATAAATGTTTTATTAAAGGGATTAATCAGCCCGTTCTCATCCCAAGGCGTCATCTAACTGACGCTTTTGACCATGTCAACATGCCGACGCACATGGTACCCCTTAAGCGTCAATATGAGACGCGCCTCCTAGTGGTCTAACCCTAACCCTACCCCAGACCTAAACCTACCCATAACGGAAGCGTCATCTAACTGACGCTAAAGGGTGCCATGTGCGTCGGATTTAGAAATTAAGACAATTGCTATTTCACTAGTGCTCTCAGACTTAATTTGTACACTGTAAATCTTTAATCTTCTCTCACACACACACGCACACACACACACACACACACACACACACACACACAATAGTTTAAGTACAGATATAGTTTCCCAATATTCAAACATATTTCCTCATAAATATACTGTATGACAATATAAATTTGAACAAAGAAATAAAGAACACAAGAGAAACTGATCACAACACTACTGAATTTAAACAACAACACTTTGGATTTGCAGATGAGCTTTATGCTGGAGATTGTTTTGGCAAAAAACGTTGCATACTAAACCCTTGCTTTGCTGGCGGCTTTTTAATAATTGATTTGTTCATTGGTCTTGAGAGCAAATCACATGATTGAGTGTCAGTCCCTGCTTTGATTGTCACAAGCTTACTGCGTGTTATCATATATCTGATTATGAAAATGATCACAACAAAAAATTGACTATAATGAGTGAGATTACAGTGGAGAAATGAGGACTTATCATAAAAGAAATTGAAACCAGAATCATGTTGTTAAATTACAATAACATTACTCAGTTCAGAGAAGTTGCTTACAGGAACTGAGAGTCAGAATTCTAAAAACAACACGTAAGTCATTGCACAATGCATCATCATATAAATCATATACATTCCTGATTGTCTGAAATTGAATGGAAACAAATCATTAGATCTAGAAAAAAAGAATGGCTAAAATAATAATGAGTTTTGTTTTTTAGGTTCAACCATTAGAGGATCGCTTTCCTTTGAGTGGAAAACTATTTGTTCTAAAAGTTTTTGTTTTGTTTTGTTTTTTACCTTTTGTAAACATTAATATTTAATATTCTAAAGCAAGATCTTCCTCCCCTAATCTTACTGCAGTCTGGCCCAGTACATGTTTTGGTCATTTCCTGGTACCTGGACAGGTACAGAAACCCCTGGAGAAATCAGACCTAAAGCAGAAAAAGGAGGAAAATGTAATGTGTTCAAACAGTGATATCAATATCAAGTAATAAGTAAATAATAAGTAAGTAAATAAATAAATATGAAATAAGTGAGTAATAAGTAAATAATTATGGAAGGCCAAATTACTAAAAATGAAATCAATAAATAAATGTTGAAATATTAAAATAAATTATGAATTTTATTTAATATATATATATATATATATATATATATTAGGGCTGTCAAATGATTAATCGCGATTAATCGCATCCAAAATAAAAGTTTGTGTTTACATAATATATGTGGTTGCACTGTGTATAATTATTTTATATATATAAATACACACACATGCTTGTATATATTTAAGAAATATTTTCATGTATATGCTGTATATGGATTTATTTATAATTTTTATTATATGTAAATATAAATATTTTATATATAAATAATATTTTTTTCTTAAATATACATGCATGTGTGTGTATTTATATATATACAAAATAATTATACACAGTGCACCCACATATATTATGTAAACACAAACTTTTATTTTGGATGCGATTAATCGTGATTAATCATTTGACAGTCCTAATATATATATAGATATATATAAAATATTAATTACATGTTTACTATTATTTTTTAATTGCTTTTTCATTTAAGCACGAGCTCGTGCCATTTAATTTTCAGTTTCAGCAGGGTTTCGGTTGTCGGCACGTCACTCAACAATAGTGGACAATGAAAAATTCATTACTTTAGTCTTTAAGCGTGTTTGTCTAGTTTGTGTTTTTCACATCACAACTATGGCCAAAGCATAGTACAGTAAAAGATCTGTTTTTGACTCTTAATTGTATTTGTTTGTTTTTTTAATAATTAATTTGATTCTGTTTTATTAACATTGATAATGTATTTAATAACCCTAACTGCATTTTATTACTATGCTGCTAATTTTTCAGGGTTTTTAGTCTGTATATACAGTATGGGTGTGTATGATTCGTTATTTGTATTTGTTGTATTTATTCATGACGAGTAGTTTAGTTATTTATTTGTGAGTGGTTTTAACCGGACCTCGGTACCTAATTGCGTTCCAGCTCATGTTTTGGAATGACAATAAAAAATCCTTAATCCTTAGTCCTTAATAATTTATTTAAATATTTCAACATTTCTTTATTGATTCGGTTTTTTTTTTATTCAATGAATCCACGGATTATCCCACTTCTACCTGGTCATTTGCCAGCATTGACAGCTGTTATTGATGTTTGCAGGGCAAAATTTGACTGGAAGGATAAAAATGTTAGCTATTTTCGTCAGTTAGGCTTGTTGTGAGATCAAGCATTCTGTCCACTTTGAATGAGACACAAAGATAAAGTAGTGCGTAAGATTACATTTATGTGAATTAATAAATTATAGCGAGTGAGATTATGTGAGTTTAATTACTTCAAAACCAGCGATGAAACCCCCTCGTTGCTGAGAAATATAATGTAGCGATTCAGAAGTGAGGGCAGCTTTGGTACGTTTCTGTGCTCCTGAATGTTTGTGTGTGTGTGTGTGTGTGTGTGCATCGTGATCTACAAATATACAAATATAGTACAAATATAAATATAGAATGTGATTAAACTGACTGGAACTACCTGTGCATTAAACGGTTTTATTGCACACCTTCCAACCAATCAGAATCGAGTATTCAGACAGACTATGGTAAAGTAAAAAAAATAATAATAAGTGAGTAAGTATTAAGTAAATAATATGTAAAAAATAAGAAACAAGTATATTTATAATAAGTCAATAAGGAATGCAAATAAATGTAAAAGATGTTGGATCAGCTCTCAGACTGACCTGTGCTGGTGTTGCCTGAAGGAGGAGCTGTGAGATGAGGAGAGGAGTATGACGGGGACGCAGACAGCATGCAGGAGTACGAGGAGGAAGATGGAGAAGGAGCAGACTGCTCACAGAACACCAGTAGAGGGAGACAACAACAACAGAAACACCCAGACAGATTTACAATGGTGTTAAAATGCATTGAAGAACAGAAGCAGTGCAGAGAGTATACACACTATAATATATCACTATACAACTATATTTGCCAAAATATACAAAAATAAGAACTGCATGTCCCACAATAAAATGCACTCAACTCGACCTTCCAATCCATTTCCAGTGAGATTAACTATCCTGTTAACTGTTAGTGTCCCAATAGTAGTGGGACTCTTAGCATGCTTTTTTCATTGCCTTTCTTCCCTATCACATATTTTAGTAATAATCATACATGTGGTATCATTCGAAATCTCAAATTTCACTCAAAATTGGCCATTGTGTTATGGAAACAGTAGGCTAATTTAAAACCTTTTAGCAGGCTCAATTTATTTTGATATCCACTTCAAATTCGGAATATTGGTTAGACATTTGGCTTCTAGCAATTTCGAGTCCAAATTATTTTGAATTTCTTTCCCTTCTGCAATAATCGGGTGAGTGTTTTTAAAAAAGATGAATCTAGGTCTGTTTTCCAAATAATTGATGCATTGCAATCATTTAAAGTCCCCGTGAACCGGAAGTTGCAAACGACTTTTCTCCAGTGTTGTGACGTATTTCCGAGAGAAACGGAATACTAAATGAGGCAAAATAACGGGCGTGGCTTTTTTTCCAACTAGCACCTGATTGGATCTAGAAAAGTAGGTGTTGTCATTCAGCCTGTCTACTCTACTGTCAGTTGGAGGGTTGTGGTTACGGATGTTAAGCAGACACCCAAACCGCCGTCTTCAGGGAAGGTCCTCCAATGCAGAGGGGAGGGGAAATTTCAGATTTTGATTAAAGATTATGATGCCAAAAAAAATTTTTTGTGTGAATTGACTTGCATGGATGAATTGTTCACCACAAACCGATCAATTTAGGCAAACAAAGTAAGTATGGTCAATTTTGAATTCATGGGGACTTTAAGTTCAGATCTATGGTCAAAAAAAGGGGGTGACAGTTCACAGGTTCATCTTTTTCTTTACTCATTATTTGATCCGATTGATAAAAGTTACATTTTATGCAATATTGAAAGAAAAATGTAAAATAACAATGTTTCTAAAAAATAACTCGATGTCATGTGGCAATGCAGTAGGCTACTCTTTGAAACCTTAATCATTGAATAAAGCCTAAAATTTTGCTTATTTTTAGAAAATAGCAGGCAGTGCATATTCAGTAAATCAAAGTATTCTGTAGCTGTTAAAACCAGACCATTCTCAGTTGTAACTGAGTTATGGTCTGGCAAAGCGTCATAGACAAATCATTTCCAGAGGGGCGTCACCAACGGACGTCGCGGACAGACCTAAACCCAATCAGAGCGATGAAGGAGATGACGTATGCAGAGCGGTGGAGTAACATCTCCGAGTGTTGTTCTTTGCTCGGTTTTTAACAAAAAGGAAACGTTCAAATGGCTTAAAACAGACGCGATAGCTGATTGGAACGAGTGATGTTCGACGGCGGTATCCATCTTTGTAATGTAGGCTACAAAATCTGCTTCAAAATCCCAGCGCTGTCGTCATCGTGTAAAGCCCGCCCCAACGTTTCTGATTGGTGCCGCGATTTCGACGGATTGGAAATGGGCTTGAATGAGCTCTTTGCCAGACTAACTTTCAGAGCAAATCTAAATTTGCCGGAAGTTGTCTGCGTTTTCCCAGGCTAAGTATTCTGGTGAGAGGACACAGATTCTTTAGTGCTCACTGATAACAGTTTCAGTGTCACCACAAGAGGGCACTAACACACAGCACTACAGAAGTACATATAAACTGGCATTGCAATGGTTTGCTAAATATAAATATGAATCTCATATGAGTCTCACCTGGAGCCCAGTATAGACTGGAAAACATAACTGGAATTTCAATATGAAAGAGAGTCATAACTGGAGAGAGCTGCGTCACTCTGACTGATCATGGGTGCTAAACACACACACAAAGAAGATGAGAGAAAAACATTATATTCTCAGCGCCATATGGCAAGCCATTTGAACTTTTATTTATTTCCAGGATACTAATTCTTGATATCAACAATTCAATTTAAAATGATAGTTATTGATATCGGGAATTAGATTTCTACTATAACAATGGCAATTTTTGATATCAGAAATTACATTTCCACTAGTAACAATGCTACTTTTTGATAACAACGATTAAATCTCAACTAGTAAAAACTATAATTCTTGATATCTATAATTGTATTTTCACTAGTGAAATGTCACCATGGCTGCCATTCAAAATCAATTGTTGATATCAAGAATATTTATACGCACCAATTCATATCCTGGAAATGAATAAAAGTTAAAACGGCTTGCCATAGTGCCAAGTACAGTATGCACTACAGCTTACTCTTACCATTATTAAAACATCAAAACCATGAAAGAATGCAAATGGAATACAGAAATCAAGTAGATAAATGTTAGCTTCTTCAAAGTCATTACCATTTTGAAAAGTATAAAAAAAACATTACATATTTTACTTATGTAAATAAATGTATATACAGGTAAAATTTCAAAAGTTTAAGCACACGCTTTTCTCGAAATGTTTTTTAAGTTAATCAGAAACATAAATTCAGTCTCACACATAAAAGAAGAATAGACAAAAACACCATAGTGCAGTGTGCAGTACAGCTTACCTCAAACATTAATGAGTACATATGAATTCTTAAGAATAATCATTCTTTCATAGAACTAGTTTACTATTTTGCTATAACATTAAAGCAACAGAATCACAAAGGGAAGTATGGGAATTATGTACGTAACCAAAATTGTTACACAAATAAAAAAATTCTTCAAAGTCACAATTAAAAAATCCTAAAAGTAAAAAAATAACAATTTAGTTAGGTAAAGTTTAGTACAATTTAGTTTATTTAATAAAATTATGAATTGATGTAATTTGAGTTAAATTCATATGCAGCCATAGGTCCAAATTATTCATTTAAGAATATGCTTTTTCCTCAGAATATTTTCATTTATTAGAAACATTCAGTCACACAAAGAACATGAGAAAGGGGGGGGGGGGTCATATTTTAAGCGGCAGGTACAGTATGCTAATTGTCCCATGTCGGTCGTCACCTGTGCTGTTGCCGTGCGGGTGATGATAGACAGCTGAATTAAAGGATGTGTTCAGTGGAGCGTGTGTTTGAGCACAGGACGTCCCGCCTCCAGACCGCCTCTGGTTTCGCAGCTTCTCCTCGCGCCTCCATTTGGCTCTTCGATTGGAAAACCACACCTGTCAATAAAGGTCCAGAGAAAGAATACATGAACTGATCTATTCCAGCATTTTATTCTATTCCCGGGACAGTAACTTACTTGTATCCGCGCCTCTGGAAGGTCGATTTTGTTTGCAAGTCGCTCTCGTCCGAAAACATCCGGATAATGTGTTCTCTCAAACTCTGTTAGATGAAGTTTAGTAGTTGAGTGTACTTAAATCTTTCTATAAAATAAATGTCACATTCTCAAAAAAAAATAAAAAATAAAAAACGGTACAAAAGATGTCACGGTGACCGTGGTAACAAAAGTTACACCTTTGTACCTAAAGAGTGCACATTAGTACCTCAAAGGTACATATTGCTACCAAAAGTGTATATATTAGTCCCTAAATAGTACATATTAGAACCTTTAAAGGTTTCCTCAATACTTTTTGAAGCTTTTCTTGTCTATGTTCTTACCCTTCTCCAAGGCCTCGATCTGCTCTGTTGTGAAGCTGGTTCTGTTGCGCTGGAGTTTCCTCTTTAACTGCAGCCTCAGTTGAGACTCTTCTCCATCAACTCTTTCTACATGTCCTCCTCTTCCTGCCATCCTCCCATCCATGTCCACCAGGCAGTCATCTGAAACCGAATAAAAAACGGTTACCGGTCGAGAATGCATAACAGAAATACATAAATGTTTAGAAAGATCTAAGTCAATTGCTCGGTGCGCTGCTGACCTCGCATGCTGAAAGTGTGGTTTTATGGATTCTTAAGAATAATCATTAGTTTAAAAGACAGATAATATTAAGCAATATTATCGATTTAACTGCACTGACACTATTGGATGAGAACAAAATTTGAACTGAATTGACTCAGCCAACAGGGAACGTTCTGGAAAGTTTCTCTCAAAGTTATGAGCAAATGTTCTTCCAGTAATATTAATAGAATGTTCATTCAAAGTATTTAATACTGTATTCAAAATGTTAACACAAAAACATTATTAATAGGCCTACATCATTCATTGAACGAAATATTTCAAAGATTCCAATATTATTTGTTTTACAATGTTCAGAGAACATTCAAGAGTAACATTTCCATAATGTTTTGAACATAACGTTTTCATAATTTCATGGGAACTTTAGCTAAATGTTTTTAGAATATATTTTCATTAGCTGAGGATCTGGATAATGACAGTAACTTTGCAACGTTGACACTGATATTTGAACTGACCTGAGCTGAATAACAACTCTATTGTCTTCTTCTGCTTTACAGATTAAGTTGAATTTGTTTCATAATTGACACATTTTGCAACATTAACACTGATATTTTCCTGTTTATTAATGTGAAGCTGCTTTGAAACAATCTGGTGCAGGTAGACGTCAAAACCTGGAAGACTAATTCACCCCTGGTTCCCTCAAGATTTTCCTATGGAGTTTTATAATGGGGTTATATTCAATTATGAGTAAAATAAAGCCTGTAAACATAACTTGACGATACTTTGACATTTTGTTCTACAATGTAAACTACACACACACACACCCCAAACTGTCTTATCTAGTTACTTATTAGAAACACACATTTTCAAAAACATGGTTTTCGGTATGTGTGTGTGTGTGGTGTGTGTGTATATTTTACAATAACATTAAAGCATCTAAACCATGAAATAGCAGAAGTATGGGATTTATGGAACCAAAAGTACTATACCAATAAATAATCTTACATTTTAACTGGTAGAAAGGTTGGTTTAAATTACTCATTTTTAAACGAACAATTGTACGCACACATTTTAATGTATATAGGCTATAGTATGTATATGTATATATAGGCCATCTTGTAAGACAGTGTTTTCCACAGGCCTAGCTCTCTCACCGGTGCTGTGCTGCTGGCTGGGGCCGTTGCTCTGCTGATGGTACCAGTCATTGGATCCACTCCAGTTGGAAGTGTTCTGGAGATTCAGCATGGTTAACCTCTCAAACATCACGCGCTTGCCCACAACAGCCTCAGAACGGAGAGACACAAGAGACTGTTTCGATTTAATTTACACTCTCCTTTGACCCTGAACAACGGAGACAGAGTATCAAATTGTGCTACGAGTTCACACACATTAAAGTGAATTACAGTACCATCATTCTATACATATAAAGAAAGAGTCTGTTACACAAAGTTGATATTTCACTGTATAGGAGTATTTCTTTATTTATATGCGTGCAGTTCAGATTTGTGCATTCGAAAACAAATTAGGCTATGTGAATTAAAAATAATACATATTAACTGTCTGTCATTAGACTTATCTGACGGCACCATTTAATAATCACAGACGGTTTGTATTATTTCTATATATTATAATATATTATCTAACATTAGGAATGTTTACTGTATGCCTCCATATTATTATAGAGAAGCTCTGTCAGTGAATGTGATATTGGTGTAACGCTTAACACTTTACAATAAGGTTTCAGTTGTTGTTAACATAGGTAACTAACATGAACAATGCAGCATTAATATTAATATTAACATTTACTAATACATTTTAAGATCAAAAATTGTATCTGTTAGTATTAGTAACGCACTGTGAACCAACATGAACATTAACTTTTATATCAACTAACATAAACAAAGGTTAATAAATGTTGTAAAATATTGTTCATTGTTAGCTCATGGTTGTTAATGCTTTTAGTAATGTTAACTATAATGGGACCTTATTGTAAAGTGTTACTTTTAGTTTGTATGTGCTTGTTTTTGATTTGTTCCTATTTCCTTTGATCCCTACATTCCCGTTGCATGTTCGTTACTATAATTACTGGTTATGTTGAGCACCTGATTCTTGTTATGTTCCTTTTTATCGTATATAGACTATACCCCATGCAGTTTTTTCAGTTCTTTGTTTGGTAGCATTTTTGGTAACGCTTCCTTTTACAGTCCTGTTACCCATGTACTTACTATGTATTTATTATAGTAATTATAATTACTGGGTAAATACTAGGTACTAACTCTGAACCTACCCCTAACCCATGTACTTACCTTATATTAGCCAGTACTTTCTAGGTAAGTACACTGTAAGTACACGTAGCTAAGTACTGTACTGTAAAAGGAAGCGTTACCGCATTTTTACAGTCTATGTTTGGTAGTTATGGGAGTAACGAAGCTTTTCGAACATTTGAATCAATTGAATCATGATTCCCTGTTTCGAAGCGCTCGAACTGCCACCGGCCGGTGACTCCTGCTGGTTAAAACGTGTAAATGCAACGAAAACCTTCATATAAAAACACCTTTTGCAAACCAATTGCAAATGTTTTAATGAAAGCGTATCTATTAAATGCAAATTAACAAACAATCCAATACCATTACTTATGAAGTGTCTGTATAATATGTTGTTGTTTTTTTATTGTGGGGCTTGTTTTATGGAGAGAATCAGTCCAATAAGAGACTAAAATGACAACAACATCATGGGTTCTTTTCTTTTACTGTATGGTTCTTTGCGGCGAACCATTGAGATGTCGAAATGTTTCGAGATAGTTATGACGTAACGAAGGGTTTACTGAAATCACGTGACTTTGATAGTTTGATACGAGCTGTGAAATGTGAAATCTGGTTCGCACGACGTGTGTATTGAAAGCGCCCATCACTAGTGTCGACTTTTAGTGTGAAACTGTTATGTTTTAGCCCTCATATTGTAGTAGTATTGCCTTATTTGCTTTAGTTGTTTAATGTTTTGTGCTGCATTTGAATTTACTTCTCCTCGTTCTTTGATTGCCCAGATCAAAAAAACACACTGACATAGATGGTCAACGATATAATAAAATAAAATTATCGCGTATTTTTAATGTTGTAATTTTACACATAACAATTTCCTTTTACATTTCTGCCGTTTCACAAATTATTTTGTGGCTCTTTTTTATTATTTAGATTTAAAAAAAAAAAAATTAATGCTGAAATGTCTAAAATTGTATTTTCTTAATGGCTTACTTTATAGCAGGTTTCCATAGTTCCCATAATAACACAAGTGTTCAGTGAACTGTATCTTTTTCCTGGGTAATAACAGAAAATATTCAATTTCTCGCCGACACGGAAATTTACTTTTAAAAATAAACCTAAATATCCCATTACATTTGCTCTCAAAACTGTCACCTGGTTGCCATAAATTCACAGCAAATAAATAAATAAATAAATAAATAAATGTTTCTGCTATTATGGAATGGAATATTGCTGCCAAAACTTATTTAATTCATGAAATTATTATTTATTTCATTATTTCATGTTAATTAACTAAACTACTTGAACCAAAACATGCTTGTTTTCTTAAAATAATAAATGACAATACAGCTGGTAAATTAGAAAGCCAAATGATAAATCAGAGTTCATCGTAGTGGCTTTACTATAAATGCAATAAACATTCTCTTATTTTATTTTTGGTAGCTAAACATTAACAAACATTTTGTTTACAGTGATATCTGAGAAAAGGACAACTAGCCCATGTTCAAAGATAAAGCTTGAAATCTGTAACTCGGATGTTCTGCCTGTTGTTTTTTTGTGGATTCAGTGCAGCAGTTAATAAAATTATAAGAAAGTACAAAGAAAAATACAAATCTGACTCACCAGTTGTTACATTACGAGCAATGCGTCCACAATATGATCCCTCTATTTGAAGTGTTATTAAAGGTTTACTTCCCACTTGCTTGTTAACAATGACCTGTGTGCATGGAGTGACAGAGAGATGCATCTGCAGGCACAATTGTCCAAGTGAGTGAGTGAGAGAGAGAGAGAGAGAGAGAGAGAGAGAGAGAGAGAGAGAGAGAGAGAGAGAGAGAGAGAGAGAGAGAGAGAGAGAGAGAGAGAGAGAGAGAGAGAGAGAGAGAGAGAGAGAGAGAGAGAGAGAGAGAGAGAGAGAGAGAGAGAGAGAGAGAGAGTGACACAGTGAGTCAACATCAGTGTCAAGTTTGAACTTAATGCCAGCGAGAGAGAGAGAGCAGCAAAAAACCCTCGAGAGATAATGGAGTGATGATAAAGACGAAGAGGGGAATGGCAGCAAAGAGCACAGTTTAATATTAATTAGCTTGCACGCTTTAAAAGAAAAGTGGGATTTGGGAGGGAAATGTGAGGTCATAGCATAGGCCTGAGGTGGGAATGTTTTCATTTCTCTTCATTTTGATCATTGGCTGAATCTGCAGAGTTTAGCAGCCTATAGGCTAAATGAAGCGAATACATATACATGATTGAATAAATAAATATTTAAATAATTACTGATTTAATGTGAACATTTCTAAATAGTGCTGTAAATAGTCTAGTCCAATTGCACTTTACCCCTCTGAAAGATATAGTATAGATACAATATAGAGTGCTGTGGGGTTAGCATATTTTTAGGCCAACCCAGAAGTTACAAGAAACCCAATAGGATTTTTCCATTAGCTTTTGGATAATTGCAGAGAATAAGGTCTGTGGCTAACAAAAGCTTATGATTCTTACACGTTTTGTGTTCATCATGGTAATTCACAAATGAACACTTTTTTATGAATTTTGAAGCATAAATACAATCTGCAGAATTCAAAAGCTAAAGCGTAGGATAACTAACTAGGCTACATCACGATCACATGACTTATGACCAAAAGAGGGGAAAAAAATATTGAGAGATAGATTACAGCAGTAAGAAGAGAGAATTATGTGAAATTTTCTAATTAAATGTTGAGGAATAAGAGCACAATGAGAGTTGAATGAGGGTAAATAAACCAGTGTGTGTGTGTGTGTGTGTGTGTGTGTGTGTGTGTGTGTGTGTGTGTGTGTGTGTGTGTGTGTGTGTGTGTGTGTGTGTGTGTGTGTGTGTGCGTGTGTGTGTGTGTGTGTGTGTGTGTGTGTGTGTGTGTGTGTGTGTGTGTGTGTGTGTGTGTGTGTGTGTGTGTGTGTGTGTGTGTGTGTGTGTGTGTGTGTGTGTGTGTGTGTGTGTGTGTGTGTGTGTGTGTGTGTGTGACTTTAGGTTGGGGAACAGGGGGATGCCACATTAGTTTATTTCCAGTTGACAACACTTTACATCCCCTACCTCTCTGTCTCTCTCATACACACTTCTTTATTAAGCAGTTATATTTAGAATCATAAGCTAATGCTGTGCTCTAAAGTGCTAAAATAAAATATAAAGAATAAAATAAAATAAGAAAGAGAGGTTGTGAAGGAAAAAAGAAGACAACAAAAGGGAGGGTTTTTAAAATGATTTATTTATTTTTAATTTATTTTAAAGACACTTGGCGTAAGATGACCCCTCAGAAATAGTCAGCAAATAAATAAACGTGTTGTATTATTATTCGTAATAATAATAATTATTATTATTATTATTTAAGCATTTTGACCGTGCATGGTAATGCCATGATGTAAGTTGTCACAGTCACCAGTTCAGTCACCAACTCTGTAGCCTGTCTGCACTACATTTCCCAGCATCCCTTCTGCTCCCCACCTGCACTCAGTCAGCATCACCACACCAGATACACACACTCCCTCATCAACAGCAACCTGCATCTCCCTCACATCAGTGTCCGGTCTCGTCAACGTCACTGTCAGACTTCTTACCTGAACACTCACCTGAGATCGTCAAGTCTCCTGTCCCGTCATCCCGACCCAGACTCCAGTCCTCGTGTTCTTCCTTCTCCTGCACAGAGAATCACTTCAGTCATCGCCATCACCGTCATCAAGTCCCCATCCTCTCCCCATCGTCTGTTCCCCGCTGTCCCGTCACTCGGCTTTTACTTGAATAAACCATTTCACCTTCTCTGACTGTCTGCTCCCTTCTGTGAGTGTGACAAATGTACAGTAGCCTATTTTTTTTTAAGTGGAAAATTAAAGTTAGACCCATAAGATGACGAATAAGTAAATAAATTAATACATTTATTTTAATAATAATAATTTATTTATAATTGTATTATTATTATTGGCCTATTATTATTTAAGCATTAATGATTTTCATATCATTAGCAACATACATTTAAATCAAGTGTGTCCAGCATTTTGACTGTGCATGTTAATGTCA